GATCATTTCATGTTTTACCATCTTTTATTCGTTAAACTATTGGAGAGCTTTTGAAATGCATTTCATTTATTAATCAATATTTTCGCTGATATATATCACATAACACGTACGCACAGTATATTTTTTCGGTAGATGGAAAAGAATTCTTTTAAAAAAGACTATTTTTCCAAACCTATCGATTTTGTAAGTCATGTCTTTTTAGAGACAGCAATGAAGCAAAATAATCTTTTTTAACAATCGATAGCTACATCCACACCTATGGATATTGGTGAATAAAAGATTAATATGAGACATCTAGTCGATGACGATTAATTAACGGATAACACGTTCAACTAAAATAGTAATGAAGAATCAATGAGTACCAATTGTTAATACAAAATGTATTACATTAGTTGTTTGTATTTGTTTTCAATATTTTTCAATGTCTATTGTAATAAGAAAAGATTAAATGGTTTGTCCGATCTTTTCTACTAGTGGAGAAGAGTGAGTGCGTTTACCAGTTCAATGCATTTTATTCTTCTCATAAATTTTGAACGATTAATTAGAAAAATATGAGTAAAATCTTATTTTGTTTCTTAAATCATGTTCTAGAAAATAAACTATTCATTTGGTGTACTTCGCTCACTCTTTTATCTATCTGAAAAAGAAAGTCTACAATATACTTCGAGTTACTAAAAGTTCTCAAGACTCTTCATATGCTTACTCTGATAATCAAAGGCATAAGCTATGTACAATAAGAGAAAGGCAAATTTTGTCGAGCATAGTTTTAATAACAAAATAAGATGTCGCTGATGTTCTCATAGTTAATCGTTCAAAACTCATAAGAAAACTACAATTGATTGAAATGCTAATACATTCATTCTCCTAGTAGCAGAACTATTCAAACAAACCTTCAATCAAACTTATTGAAACAACTAACAATCTCATTATTAGCTTGATTTCTTATATGTATATATATACAGATAATGCTGAGTTCGATGTTAGATTCTTTTAATGCAAACAGGTCTTCTTGTCATCTTAGGTATGTTTATGGCAAATGAAGAAACACGTTGTTTATGGTTTAATCCATCAGCAGCTGAAGATCTCGATCGTGAATATACATTAATAGGCATGTTATTAGGTTTAGCTATATATAATTCAATTATTCTTGATATTAAATTTCCACTTGTTATTTATCGTAAATTAATTGGGAAAATTGGTACTTTTGAAGATCTCGAAGCATCACATCCGGTAGATTTCTTTTGTTTTTTTTCTTTACGAATATTTTTTTATTGAAGAAATATTTATTCCTTTCAGACCATATATAGAAGTTTAAAAAGTCTTTTAACATTTGATGAACAAAATGAAGGTATCACTGTTGAAGATGCATTTGGTTTAACATTTCAAGTTGCTATTACTGATGCAATTGATTCACCAGTATTATTTGATTTGAAAGAAAATGGAAATACAATTCCGGTAACAAATGCTAATCGAGAGGTTATCAAACGAATTTTTTTCTTTAGTCTTCAGAATTTTAATCAAGAAATTTTTTTTCTTATTCTATAGGAATTTGTACGTCTTTACAGTGATCTTTTGTTAAACAAAAGTATTGAAAAACAATTTGATCCTTTTTTTCATGGATTTTTATTGGTAACACGTGATAGTTCATTAAGAAAATTATTTCGCGCAGATGAAATTGATTTACTTGTCGCTGGTAGTCAAGTACTTGATTTTAATCAACTTGCTTCAGCTGCTGATTATGATGGTGGTTATACAAAAGATAGTCCAACAATTAGGTAAGTCTTTCGATTATTATTTAGAAAATGTAATCTATCTGGTATTGGTTGAAGAAACAACAGATCTTTCATCGTTTTTAAAGATTTATCTATAAAATTTGAGAGAAATAAGCCAGTGTTATAAGCAGGTCCGACCGATCTTTATCAGTTGGAAAATATATTGTAGATACGCCATTTTTTTTGGATAAAATTTGTTAAGAGCAAGTTTGCTTACTCTTACCATAATCATCAAGCATTATTGATTCAAGATCATTTATACTGTTTTATTTCTTTCAATGAAGTATGTGCCATCTTTTAAAAAGCACAATGAAAACTGTGTTTCCAGAACTAAACTTATATTATATACTGTTGGTAAAGATCAAATTTAGATTCGTCTAAAAAAGCTGAGTAAGAAAATTCAAGACTTTGATTGTAACAATCAATTGATAGGTTGATGATGTTTAGGCGTATTATATATAGAAGTATCACATATTTTTAAGAACTTAACATACAAAAAATAACTATAACGTGATACTTCTTCTCCTGAAAATTTGTAAAAACTGAAGTGCAAAAAGGAAAATGAATTTTTGTTTTGAAGTCACTTTTAGTAACCGATCAATAATAATTCAATAAACTTGCCAAACCAGACCGGTTCAAAAATTCTCAATCGGTTACAACTCAGGGCTGACTCCCCCCCTCTCCGAATCTTGAAACATTTTCGTTTATCTCTAGTGAAGTTCCAGTGTTTTATTACTTTAGTAAAAATCTTCTTATCGATTTTGAGATATCACGATTGAACTGAGTTCATTATTGGTCCAACATGACGAGTTACTTTTGATGTACTAGAATAAAATAAGTTCTATTCGTTTTTTCAGATCGGAAGAATAAGCACATCTTAATTAAGAACAGTGTTTTTCTCCACTTAATTAAAGATGATGCCTGTGAAAGTAAACCAGCTGTAGAAGCATATTCGCAAGTAATTAAAATAGTGGAAAATGTGTGGAATCAAGATTAAGTTTATTATATGAATCGAATAAATAAAAAAAAAAAGTTGTAACATTAAACTATTGTTAGTTTATGCCTATGAATATTCTTTGTATTGGATTTAATACATGTATTAATTGTAACAGATAGAACATCATATTTCTTTTTTTTTTTAATTATTATTCGTCAATGATCTCTTTTCAAGAGTATGATTCGGTTGTCTATAATTAATAGTTTCATATATGTTCAACGAATATAGTTAAATAAAATTCTGTAATTTTTTTTTTTAATTTAGAAATTTTTGGTCTATCTTAATGACATTTACTGATGAAAAAAAACGAAAATTTTTACAATTTACTACTGGTAGCGATCGTGCTCCGTACGTTATTTCTTGTCTTTTAATTAATCAAAAAAAAAACAATTAAGATGTCTATTTTTAGTATTGGTGGTTTAGCTAGATTAAAATTAATTATATCTCGTAATGGTCCGGACTCTGATCGTTTACCAACAGCACACACATGTTTCAATGCCCTTCTACTTCCTGATTACTCATCAATTGAAAAATTACAAGAAAAACTTTCTATAGCAATTGATAATGCTGCAGGATTTGGATTACGCTAAAAGCGAAGAAGAAGAAGAAGAAGACAACACCCTCATCAATTCTTTGTTCTTTCATATTTTTGATGTTCTCCTTAACATCCTTTATTATTATAGTTGTGAGTGTGAATACATAGCATCTTTTTTTCTCTTATCCAATTGTCATATTCACTGTGATTGAACAAGCTATCCTTTTTTTCTCTTTTTTTTTTTGTTTTTTGATAACTCAGAGCGTGTGTGTATATTAAACGAAATTTTCTATTATATTCTAAAGATTACAAAAATGTTCAACTCTAATGAGACATTCCGAAAGCATGCATGACGTTTAGAAATATGTGCGTGTGACAAATCGCGTCAAAGTTAGGACAAATCCACTTGTTGTTGGCAGACCGACGACATTATGATTGACGTTTACAGTGCATAGTTATAACTTGCTGCGTGTCTCATTAAACAAGAAAAGATTGTTAAAGAAAAACGAAGAAGAAAAGAAAAACGGTAAATTTCAAGTGTAAAACACATATATAATATGCATAAAACCAAGAGCACGCGAAATCTAATCGATTCATCTGTCATAGAATTTTTTTGTAAAAGATAACTTTTTCCTTTTTTTTCTTTTTCTTCTTCATCTATTGACGAAAAAGTCATTATTCGCTTGGTTAAATTCACACGTGTCACATCAATTATACCTACTATAGTCTTTATACATGTTGATGATCAAATTCATTTTCTATTTATTCAACGATTTAAAACTATATCTAGGTGTATGTTAGATTTACTAGTAAGGATGGCATATATTGTTAAAATAAATTGAAATGATAAGCCTTTAACACGCATTCGTCGTTGTTCATTCAATTTGATGAAGAGAGAAAAAAAGAAAGAAAGAAAGAAATTGACATTCGTTTTTTTTTTGTTGGCAATACATCTGTCAATAAAAACAAGCTTGATGAGATGTTTTTCTGTTATTTAAAAGACTATAAGTAAATAAAAATATCTATGTATTATAAATTCTCTCACCAATTCACTGATCTACATATTCAAATTAATTTTACTATTTTCTTCGATAGTTAATCTAACAATTTTCTTCCTGTTTTTCTTTTTGCTTTACTTGATAAATATGTGTATGTCAAAGATTTCTTTCTTTTTTTTAACATTGAATATATGCGTGCCTGATTCAGTCTTAGTAGAAGAGAAGAAAAAAAAATATTTCATATCCGATGGTTCCTCTTATTAATCCCCAATTTCAACATTGGTAGTCAGTGCAATAGCAGTAAATCTCTTTTTCTTCTCTCTCTCTCTCTCTCTCTCTCTCTCCCTGTTTTGTATGCCATACCGCTCTCTGACATGTCACATAAAAGGGAACGAAGAAAATTGTGAAGAAGCTGATTCGTTGAAAGAAAAGAAGAAGAAAAAGAGACGAAGATTTTTTTTTCTTTTTTCCTCAAATCTTTAACGGATATGAACCAATGAAAGATTTTCTTTTGCTCTTTTTCTCTCTCTTTCCAACCACTCGAAATTAAGTTGATCGCTGATGATGGTTGGTAGTGCTCTTTCATTCGATCTCGACGCCTCGCGCTTGATTTACACCTCAACACTTGACATTTTTGTTTTTTGTGCAAGAAGACAAATTTTTTCTTTCTTATCTTTTTTTCATTTGACTGTTTAACTATGGATATTAATGAAAGCAATAATAATAATAATAATAATAATAAATCAACAAACAACGATGGTATGTATATGTTGATATTACGTAGAAATTCTTTTTTTTTTCCTTTTTTTGCAAGTTTTGGTTTGTTTCTTTAATCTTGTCTTTGCTTTTTTTCCATGAAACATATCCTAAAACTTTTTGCGATTGATATGTAAGTGCGTGAGTAAGTCTTTCGAACCGTAAATTGTCTAGTGAACAATGATTATCTTGAGACATTCACTTGTCGTTCTATTGTCTATGACATGTTCTCTTTTTTTCGATTAGACTTTGCCTGTTCAATTGTTATTTGCACGATGATAATTCAATAGATTTCTTTCTAGAAATTGAGAATTGGAAGTTGACGACAACGACAGCACGTTATCCAATTAAGTCTAAAAAACTTATCTTCTTTTTGCTCGATCGAATATTTCATATATCTATAAATATATAAAAAAAGGCGATGATGATGATGATAATAATAATCATGCAGCGACGAAGTAGAACAAATTAGACGCACATCACATCGATCTCTTTTTTTCTTCTTCTTCATTTTCCTTCGCACAAGTGATCAATGATTTGAAGACATCATGCTGAGTATGTGTTCACTCTGGCTAAATTAACATCGTTAAACTTGTCAAGCAATGTAGCTACTAGTACATAGATTCTATATAAAATTAATCACATACACACATCATCATCATTTTGAGTAGTGTTGTTGTTCTCATAAGGATGAATAAGAAAGAAGAGACGTGTGAGCGGCAAATCTTAATCTAAAAAAAACGGAATGAGCAAAAAAGAGAAACACGGAATGAATTTGATTTGTATATATTTATTCTTTGATTAGATTGTTCATCACCAAATGAAACAAGTCCAACAATTAATGATGATGATAATAGTAATCATAGTAGTATTGAAAGTAATAATGATGAACAAGAACAACTTGTTCAACCAAAAGAAGAACCAAATTTAAATTATTATAATTCTTTAATACCTCCTAAAACAGCTTCAAATGCTGAAAATCCATTTGGTATTCTTTCAATGTGTTTACCATCATCATCATCATCATCATCATCATCAAAAATGGTTCGCCCTCATTCATTTACAAATCATCGTTATGCAGTTGTACAACCATATCCAATCTCACCTCATGCTTATTTTGCTAATATGGCTAAATATACTGAAGCAGCTGCAGCGGCTGTTGTTGCTGAGCAACAACGTAATCAACAAGCTGCTAAATTAGCTGCTGCTGCTGCAGCTGCGGCTGCTGTTGGGGTTGTAGGAACAAATACAATTTCATCAAGTCATAATGTTGGAAATAATCTAATTTGTGCTGTTTGTGGAGATATTTCAAGTGGGAAACATTATGGAATATTAGCGTGTAATGGTTGTAGTGGATTTTTTAAAAGAAGTGTTAGACGAAAATTAATCTATCGGTTCGATTTATTTTTTCTTATTTAGAATATTATGGAAATATATGATATTCATTATTTAGATGTCAAGCTAATACGGGTATGTGTATTGTTGATAAAGCACATCGTAATCAATGTCAAGCTTGTCGACTTAAAAAGGTAATATAAATCAATAATTTTTTTTTTTTTTTTTTTATAAAATAATTTTGATATTTATTTTAGTGTTTACAAATGGGTATGATAAAAGAAGGTAAAGTCTCTTTGTATGACCATGGCAGAACCAGGATTTTAGGCTCAGCTCTCCTCCTCTGGAAAGATTTTTGAACTTGGCAATGAAACATATTAATATACATATCTCATTTTCAGAAATTTATATGTATTTTTGATACAAAGAAAATATAAGAAATATAAGTTTCAATATGGTTCTTTCAAAAATCTTGCCACAGGGTTAAGACCAAGTTCTTCTTGCTTCGCCACTATTATATGTATTGAAAAAAAAAGAATTATATGAATTTGTGTTTTAAGCTGTACAAAATGAACGTCAGCCACGTAATAGTGCTCAAGTTCGTGCTGATTCAATTGATTTTAATTGTGATGGTAATGGTACAACAGTATCAGTTATGCATCATCGACCAACGAACTCTAATCCAGCTTCATCACCTGGTGAAGGTAGTACATCATCAATTAAACAAGATGGTAGATAATAAAGCAAAACATCTCGTATTGTTTCTTACAAAATTTGTTCATTTTTTGCGTTCTATTTAAGATGAATGTGATTTATCAACATCACAAGTATTTCCAAATGAAACAGATGATCAAATATCCGCAACATCAGCACAAATACTTTTAATGATTGTTAAATGGATTCGTAATTTACCAACATTTTCAAGTTTACCTTTTCGTGATCAGGTATTATTTATATTTATATACACATATATATATATATATCTGTGTCTATCAAAAGAAACAAGTTCAAATAATGTTTTTTATTGACATATTCTAATCCTGAAATATCATGTCATTTGAAAACGTGAACATCTTTTGATGAACTCGATACATATCGTTGTCTATTCAAATAATCAAATGATGAAAGACGGATCAAGAAATAAATAAATTCACATTCAATCAACATAAGAGTGATAATAAGATGAACTAAAAATTGTCAAGTAGAAGAGATTTAGAAGTATCATTGTTAATCTTCAAGAACAAAAAAAATTACTTTTTTTTTCTCCATCTGTCAAATAAATTTTTTTGTTTTTTTTTCAGTTGATTTTATTAGAAGAATCGTGGTCAGAATTATTTCTTCTTTGGGCAATACAATGTTCATCATCATTAGATAATGGTGGTCCTCTTTTTACAACAGCTCTTAATCGTTATCAATTAGATAATGAAAATGGAAAGTCTATTTATCGTTTATTAAATGATATTTTATATCGTTTTAAACAATTAAAACTTGATCCAATTGAATTTGCTTGTTTAAAAGCTATAGTTCTTTTTCGTTTCGGTATATAAATGAAAATTTTCTTTTTATAAAAAAAAAATCTTTTATCCTTTTAAAATTAGATATTCGATCATTAAGAGAATCAAAAATGGTTGAAAATTTACAAGATCAAGCACAAATAACATTGGCTCAATTTACACAAATTCATAATCCAACACAACCAACTCGGTAAATTTATTTCATTTTTTTTTTTTTGTTTAGTACTTTTTAATGAAAATTTCTTTTAGTTTTGGTCGATTACTTTTAACATTACCCTTATTACGGAGTATTCCATCATTATTAGTTGAAAAAACTTATTTTGCACGTACGATTGGAAATACATCAATGTCAAAATTACTTGCAGATATGTTCAAAAGTTAAAAATTGTACAGAACTAATGAACAAATATTAAGTGATTGTTGTTTTACAGTCTCTTTAATTGTACTCTTCTTTTTCTTTTTCTTTTCTTTTCGTTTCGTTTCCGTTTCTTTTTTTTTTTTCGTTTATTGACCATATGCATGCCATGCACATTCTTATTATGATTATTATTATTAATCAAAAAAATTTTAATGTTGAAAAGATTTTAATGTCTGAATTAAGATTTCTTATTTAAAAGAAAAAAAGCGTTTTTTCTTTAGAGTAAAGATTGTTGCGAAGAATTAAAGAAGAATTTGAGCCAGATAATAAGACTTTTATTATTAAGTTTGTTCGATATAATCAACGAAAACAAAAAATAGAGTTAATCTTGAATGTTATTTTTCTTTTGATGGTATCTATTCATTTTCAGTTTGGTACATTAAAAAAACGCTTTAATCGTTAATCGAATTAGAATAAATTAATTTTGCTATGGTTTAAGTCATATATTAATTAAGCTGATCTGATATTCAAAATAAATAGAATTAGAAGATATTTTCAGTGTCTACAATGATTGTTCAATGCCATTCGATAACAAAAAGCTGTTAGCACAATTTCTGCGAGATTAAAATGTGAAACACGATGTAGCTGCTGTTGCTAGTCACAGGGAAATTGGTTTGTTCTGTTCATTTTGAGAAACATTTTTTTGCAGTCTCTTTTTACTTAATTCTCCATAAATACAATAAGGAAGTAATGGTTAATATATTGCAAGGAGCTGTTATTGATATATAGTTTATGATCATATATCAACGACGTTTGTCACGGTCTATGGAAGAGAAAATGTAAATTTCTATTCAATATACTTCAATACTCTCTTTAAATCATATTTTATAAAAAAAAAAGGAATTATATTGTGAGTAAATATAGTCAGATAGTACTTTAAGATATGTAAAAAAATAAGTTATAGTTTCTCGAATAGTTTTATTAATTATGTCACAAAACAAGTAACTATAGAAAAATCGAACTAGATATATGTATGATTGAGACACGAGCTAAACAAGTCAGAAAATCTAGCAATTCAATTCAATCAAGTTTAAAATAAAGATTTGTGTACATGAGAATCATACGAAGAAAATATTTGATGAAGTTTGAGAGGAATATGGGATGATTGAATATACAGAGAGAAATTCGATACCATAAATTTCTTTGAAGACAGAGCAATATTTTGCTTTCTAATACTTTGTGTGATTACGCTTACGCAAACACCAACAACGATAACACCGAACATTGCCAATACGCCAAAATCTAGACCATTTGCTGCATCACAATTTAAAAGAATCGCTGAAACTAGGACGAATTCCAGTCTCAAATTTTTCGTCATTAAGATCATCGTACAAAAGCTAAAATATTGATAATTAATACAATCGAAAAACAATTACTTCTTCATGATAGAATAGATTAACAAAAAGTTAACACTCGATATGTAAATTAGTCAAGTCATGAATTTAAATATCAACTACTGATCAACATAGAATTTTTAACATAAATCAAGGATTCATCAATTGGTTGTTCACAATGATTCCATATTGTTAGAGTCAATAAATGATGAATATCTTGATTAGACATGGACAGAATAAGATCATATATTTGTTCAGGACATTATTGAAAGTAAGGGACTTTTATAAAACAAAAAAAAGAGGATCTTATGAATGTATATCAATGTATTACAAATCATTTCTGCCGATGAAAATTGTTCGAGGGATAGATCTTCCATTATAAAGGTTTTCAGTTATATTTTATTGATAACTTGATTATGAATCACCAATATTCATCGGTAAATTTTCGATTGTTTTTCTTCTTGTAAATTATCTAAACCGAATTTTCAGATCGATCAATATTAAAGTGGTTGAACTGTTAACAAAAAATAGAAGAAATCAAAATCTTATTAGAAAACGTTTAATATATTCGATATGATATTGATAGCCTATTTTAATTTAACTTTAGATTCGATTAAAAATATGATTTGACCAACGTGAAAAATACGATAAGATCTTGCGTAAGTACACAAGCTCTATCAACTTATCCGTCTACCATCAGACAGATTATACGATGAAAATGATTTGATGTAGACAACACTTTTAAATGTTTCGAATTGGTCACTATGTCTCTAAAATGTCAGCAAAGAATCTATGAAAACAAGAAATCTTTGTATTAACTCTTTTAGAAATTATTTTGATATTATTCAAAGAAACAATGGTCGAGAAAATCACATTACTAATAACAACATACTAATTGATTCATTTCATTTTGATGACAATAATAATGTGGAAGAAATAGGAATACAGAAAATAAATCAAAATATGTACTAATTAACGTATATTTCTTGATAATTGATTTCATGTTATATCCTTCTCACTATAATATATAGAAAATAAGTACCGTTACAGTAACTATACGGTGTTCGATAGATTATGAATTAATTCCGATCAATATTTTAAAATAAATTAAATAATACAAAATGATGAAGATTTTCTTGTCTTTGTTAAAACAAAAAAACTTCTTTGTTTTACATATTTTGTCATTCTTTTATTTACTGCTGACAATAAAATATGTTTTTTATCTGTACATGATTAATAAGTTGGTCGATATTTACATCCATAAGCTTTGTTTTTCTTCATTGTAGTATTACATTTTATTCTTATATTAATTGTCTTTATCTATTGTTGTAAAGCTTTGGTTACATTCTTTACTAAAGACTAGTACACATGTATTCATAGACCCTTTTTCTTCTCATTCTTCGTTTGCTTCTTCCATAAACTTATACGTAACGTATAGAAGTTCTGCTCGTCAAAATCGTTATTTGTCTTTTTCTTTTCTTTTTTTATTCCTTCTGTCTACTTCAATCATTTTGATAGATCAAACCGAAACACATGTGCAATAATGTACAGTAATCTAGTAAAACAAGAACAGAAAAGCAAAAAAAAACAAAAAGGTGGAGAAATAATGTAGTGTGTAATTTTTTCATTTTTTTTCTAATGAATAGAAAAAGAAAATAATTCTAATAGTTATTATCGAATCACATACCAAATGGTGTCCTCATCATCTCCATGGACACCAGAATTACTTCGATTATCATCAACACTACCTTCCCCATATGATTATTTTACTGATTCATCAAAAATTCTTAAGCCTGATGTTATTTTAGTTGTGGAAAAAGAAAAATTTTATTGTCATCGCTTATTATTATCATTAGTTTCACCTGTATTTAGTCGAATGTTTGATGGTGAATTTAAAGAGCACAATGCTCATGAAATTATATTAGAAGGTAAAAAAAGTGAAAGTATACTTGAATTATTAAAATATATTTATCCACAATTTAATGGACAAATTACCAATGATAATATCGAAGATTTTCTTTTATTAGCTGATGAATATATGATTGACTATCTTAAACAAACATGTAAAGATGTTTTAATGAAACAACTTCAATATTTTAAATTTGTTTCACTTCCAATACAACAAAAACTTGAACAAGTGATTAATGATATTGAATTTATTTTTATTTTATTTTTATTTATTTCTAGCCATCAATGAAATCAAAAAGTTTTCATGCTAGTGATTCAGCATTTGAATCAACTCAACATCAAGATGATGAATCAATAATTCGTAATAATACAAATCGTATAAATTCATCACGTCAACCAACATCAAATTCTCGTCTTCATATACAGAAATCTACATTCAGTAATTGTAAATCAAATGATAAAAATGGTTCATCATCAAATCATCATCCTCGTTATGTACTTGTTCTTGATAACACTCGATTACCAAATTTTTATGATGCACATAATACTTGTATTCCATTTACGACTATCGAAGTTGAATTATGGCTTCGTCGTTTACGTATTCTTTATCAGATCGATAAAGGTCGCAATTATGGTGAAGTTATTGATTATATTTTAAGTATTCTACAATTTATTCCAGCTACTTTACTTTTTACTTTCATGCATAGTAGTATAAATACTTATTCAATTGATGAAACTATGTTGAATGATATAGTTCGTGCAAGAATGTATATGCTTGAAGAATGGGCTGCTGATGGTGATCCATATCGTATAGTTAGTTTAACTGACTCCTATAGAACAATGTCATCTAATGTTTTCACTACTGCAGCTCAACAATCGATCAATACTTCAACAAATGTAAATAATGATGAACAAAATTCTTCTCAAGAGACAATATTTACAACATTGAATTCAGAAACAATTGCTCTAATATCTTAGTTAATTATAAACTAATTTTAATTCGATTGTTGTTTCTAACACACACACTATTTTTCAATGTAATCTAACGTATGTTTCTATTTCTAGTTTTCAGCATTTACAATAATATATTTTATCAAACACAAATATCACGAGATTTTTTTTTTCTTGCAGTTTCTATTTGTTAATAAAATTTGGTAGTGATACTCATAATCAATATGATTCGAACCGAACAAAAACTGCGGGCAAACCGTTATTAATGCGAACAAGCATACTACATACAAAGATAGGATTTATTCGAAATCAACACTTGTTAATAAAGCTCGGAGATAGAGATTGTGTTAATCGATGCACTTTTCGACGATTACAGTTAAGAAAGTCTCGGTCTTCAACGACGGCAGTTGGAAGTTTTAGATGAATTTTTTTTTTTTAAATTTCCTTAATATTGAGAAATTTCGAAATGAAAAAGGAACAAGCGATGATAGAAAACTTATTAACAAGAATGCAGACATAACTATTTAAAAAAATTGATTTACGACATTCAAGGTTTTACAATCAAATACATATTTTTTTTTTCATATGTTCCATTGACGGTTCACATATCTGCTTGAATAGAAGCATAAAAAGTGATCGAAGTATTTTAGCGCCCTCTTTAATATAAATTCAGTAGCGTTCTCTATTGTAAATTTTTTCACATTATCAGTTATTTTACCAATCATAAATGTTCTTACGACTTGATGGTTTCATTTTATTTTAATTGATTTG